TCAGAACGCAATGTGTTAGTCTGGAATGTGGACCTTACGGAACGCCCATGAAGGGGCATTGTTTGATACCTAGGCAGGCTCTTCAACCAGGGGTGAACACTACTGTAGATATTAACCACCCCCCTCCCAGCATTCAGTATTGTCAATTATTCATCAGGGCTCCCCCGCAAATAAGTGGGGTTGTCATCAAGGGCTCAAATGGTTCAACTGGTCCTCAAAATGACCTAACCAAAACTACCCAAAATATCACCTAAAATGGTGGCTTGAAAGGGAAACACACACACACACTCCTGCATCCAGAGAAGAAAAAACACTTCGAAGATCTCCTCCAAATTTGCTAACTTCATGGACCCGGGTTGCCCCTTCCCCTCCTTTGAGGGTTGCAGCGACCCAGTTCAGCACCTCGCCTCCCCGCCCATCGTCACAGAGATCAGCAGGGCAAAGGACAACGCCAGGCCAATCCACCCCGCAGAGGCAAACATCGCGCCCCGGATGGTCCTCAGCGTTTCGCCGATTTGCTTGACACCTACTGTGGACTCAGCTTTCAGGTGGTTTTGACACCTAGTCCTGGATTTCAGCTTTTTTTGAAGCCAATGGTGGGGGTACTTCGAGTTCTAAGGTGGCAATAAAGGCTTGGATACTGTGGATGGACACCGTTCTCCACGAACCAGGCACAAACTATAGTTGTTTGCTGGGGTCTTGATTCTTCTCGCACCACCGTTCAGAAAAGAAGGAGGTTTTTTTTGAACCCCCCGGTTTCAATACCAACCAACAAAGGTTTCAACCATGGTTTCAACATGGTGCAGGAATTCGTCCATCCACAGTATGGTTCATTCCCCTGCAACATGTGCTTCGCTTGTTGCTGTTGGGGATAAAACATCTTTTCTCAGAAAGCTTTTTAGTCCGCAGATCCACCCCAATCAGCCAAGGTAGATTCAAGCGCTGTTGCAGCCAAGGTCTGGGCAGCATACCTTGAGGTTTTAGTAAATTGTTCTTATTCAGGAGAAGACCTAGTATAATTTTCAAAATAATTAAAACAACTACTATGGTTTCTAATCTAATAGAATGTCTGACATTTAACTCTTTAGTAAGTATACTATATAGTGCTCCCACCATATTTATCTTGGGGCGCCCACCCTGGCCACCCCTTCCATTCTGTGACTCCCAGACTCAGCCTGGGGTTGGTCAAAACGCGGATGGACAAAACCCGAACCATGGACCACACATATTCGGCGCAAAGCCTCCTTTACGGGGATCTCTTTTTAATGTGAACCGAGGAGGTAAGAGGAATCTCCTTTTGGGAATCGGACACAAGTCTGTTTGGGCCTTCCGTTATTTTGCAAAACTACCTGGGTGTATGGCCAAGGTAGTCAGTTTGTAACTTAGGCTTTAACCGACTCACAAGTCTCGCTCAGCTGCTAGAAACTTTGCCTCCAAAGACCCCAGCGCCAGTTGGCCTCGTTCGGCCTTGCTTCTTTCCAATGATCTTGGGCTTGATTCCTTGTCCATTCTGTTCAATCATCGTTCTTTTCAAAAACCATTCGTTTTCCCTGGGTTTCTGGAGGTTTCCTGAAAAGAAGGATCCCTGGAAAGAATGGGGAAGGTACACCTAGAAATGATTCAGCCTCAAAGCAGGGGAGGTCTTGGAGTGTGGTCCGTAGCGTGCCTAGAAAAGTCCACCTTTGGGCGTTTGAATCCACAGGGCTCCAACACCGAACGGAACAAAGGAAACAAATACGCGAGCAAACAGCGCATCCCCTTCTGCAGGTTACATTTTATGTTAGACCCACCGATCAAATCGAAGGAGCTCTGGGTGTCCAAATGGAAAATTCGATAGCGCTGGCAACTTGCCTTGCAACTGCGGCTGGAACCCATCCAAAAGAAAACCGAAACAAGGACACCTATGGCAAAGCAAGTTAAAAGTAAAAAAAAAAAAAAACGACCTGCCCAAAGGACCTGGAAACAGAAGGTTCAGCTTTTGAGATCTTACCCAAACATGGCCTCCAGGTCCTCCAGTAGAGAGGTTAGAATAAGGGAACAAACTTGTCTCAGTTTTGTCTATTTTAGTAGGGGAACCCTCCCCCAAAAAAGGATAAAGGGGCACTACTGGGGGACCTAGACAAAACAACAGGGGAACCCTCCCAACAAAGTTGGTGAGAGGTCGGGCACCTCAGGTTCCAAGGCCGTGCTGAGGATTTCAGCCAGGGGTGCCATGCCACCGGGGCTCTGCCCGCAGGTGGCGAAGTGGGCTCCGCAGAGCTGATCCACGATGAGGCCGGCAAGGACCACCAGACCGAATAACCTCAGACTGTATGTATGTATGTATGTATGTAGGTAGGTATGTATGTATACGTAGGTAGGTAGGTAGGTATGTATGTAGGTAGGTAGGTATGTATGTAGGTAGGGCACGACGTCCCTGCTCAGAGGTTCCTGCCCTTCAATGGACACGGCCAATTCCAATCGACACTTTTCGGACGGTGGTCGGGGGTCTCAAAACCAGGTTGAAGGCCCTTCAATCGAGTTGGAGCCTTTGGGTGCTCAGAAAGGGCGAGCGCCCCTTTGATTGGAAACTCAGATGCGTCACCAGCAGAACCTGGTAGAGGGATTCACCCAAAGTCATGTAAAGAATGAGGTCGCCTATTACGTCTGGGACTGTCACTTACTGACCTTCACTTTCCCCAGTTGCGGTCCCTCCGACCTAAACGAATGGCCATCTTGGTTGGTCAAGCCTTGGGGACTGTGGAACAAAGATGGAAAGCTCGGGCGGAAAAGAAATGGAGAGGGTTGCGGGACTCTGCGAGGCCTACCCGCAGACCAATTCCTCATTCATGGGGGAGGCTCTTTGGTGTGAGAACCAACTCCTCAGTCCCTCAACTCTGAAAGCGGTGATGGGATGGGCAAACTGCTGCACCGGAACAAGCTCTAGAACTACTGGTGTTCCCAGCGCCCACCAACTCTACAAATGCCGGGGCAAACACCCATTGGACAAGGCCTCCAGGTAGCCCATAGCAGCTCATGCTTAGTGAGGCGAACCCAAACAAAAAAGGGGAACAACAATTCCATTGAACGACTCGGGTAGGGGTCCTTAGAAATATGTCAAACATCAAAGGACACTTGCTGGAACCCTGACCCAGGTGATAGTTCAAAGTTTAAACCAACCCAAAGGATTGTTTTTGTGTAGCCTTGCATCCGAGAAACAGCCACATGCCATATCCAGCGATACTCTTCTGCGCATCTAAACCCAGGACGTCCGTGGCATTTGCTGGAAGCACATCCACGGGGATCGCATCGCTGTCGTCACTGGAGGCACCGCTGCACCACAAAGAAAGCCAAAGCAGCACCAAAGCGAGCGACATTGCCGCCGCCGGCCAGGCGCAAAAAACGCGGCTTGAAAAAAACCCGGGGAATCTATTTGTTTGCAAGTTGCAGAGAGCGGGCCAACAAAACTCTCTTGCCATTGTGTTGCGTGTCCAAAAAACATAATGACCTGACCCTGTATAAACAGCTGGTGTTTGGCAGCTTGACTTGTGCACGTGAACCTCTTCAAACGGCAATCCGGGTGTCCCGATGTTCGATCTGCGCCCAAGCTGAATTCACCAGGAGGTCTCCGGGCTGGCATATTTGAGGCTTGCACTCTAGCAGGCTTACTCTCCTGCAAACAGGTATAGGTATCCTCCGTTTGCTTAAGTCCGCAGGACAAATGCGAAAATGTGTCCAGTAGTGATAGATTCCCGTGAAAACCATCAGGGGAAAATAACACATATTCTTAAGCAAATGGAAGGTGTGTGTCAAAATAGGGGGGCCTACACAAAATGGGGCGGGGGTTTCCCCAGCTTCCTTGAAGCCCCAAAAAGGCTGCCCACGAAAAAAGCACACACCTAGGGGTCCGCAAAAGATGGCTCCTCGAAGAAAAGGCTTGTGGATGCTTTTCTGAAGTTCCATGTCGTGTACGCAACAACAAACGTGCCAAGGACAGAGACCCTTGCAACCAACGATGCAAATGACAGAAAGCAAGTCGGGGATGCCCCCAGCAACGCCAAGTCAAGCCTTATCGGTAAAAGCCACACAGTCCGTTTGCCTGCTTTTGCTGGTCTTGCTGTCGATTTGCAGGGGATACAATTCCCTAGCCTTTGGGCTAGCCTCATTCTTCCGAACACCTTTCTGGTGAAGGTGCGGTGGGCTGTTTTTCCTCTTGCGGTCCACGCAAAGGTGTATCATGGTGTATCTCCTTTGGTGACTCGTCCTCTTCACGTTTCTGCTGTGTCGACAAGTTTTGGGATTTCTAGTGACGATGGTATGCAGCCCCCCTGTTCTCGATGCTGGGAGTGGCTGCTACCTTGTGGTGGTCTTCCATACTTCTCAGTGCGCTTGGGTCAATGGCTCTGCATGCCCTGACTCCTTTGGACTTTGGGTAAAGCTTTCCTGGTGGACCTCTGTTCAACTTTGGGGGCGTCTGCACTTTGTACAGAATAGTTTGCTGTGCTTTGTTTGGCTTTGAATCTTGTGATTTGCCCTCTTGGGCTGTTCAATTCGACGCCACGTTACTTGCATTGTGGGTTTTCTACCCTTTGAACTATTTCCCTGTGTGTCTTCTACAAACCTCTTTTTGTACGGCATGTCCCTGTGACCAGCGTCTCGCACCGATGAGGAGCCCTGTGCCAAAAGGGGCCCACTGAGTACGGCTGGGCAACATCTCCCTGTTGCTGGTGCGCCTCTCTCAACCCCCCCGTCATTGCTTCTCAAACCTCTTGCAGCTTTCCGAGGCGTCTCATTCTACAGATTCCCCAAGCACTGAGAGCCTTAGAGCCAGCAAGTATACACTGAGCCTGCTGCAGAAGGATTCGGATGCACAAAAGCAGCTGGACAAAGTGTATCCTTTCAGAGAAATCTACAACTCTAATTTACCAAAAGGGCATAAACCTCTACCCAAAGCGATACCTTTTTTCGTCAGCTGATTTTCCACCGGCCTCAACGAACCGCTCGATGTCTGGGCGTCGTGCCGCAAGACACGGCTCCGGCTTGCGAGCGCTGGGCTCTCGATGCAGGTCAGCCTCGGGCTCTACCAACGTTGCACACATCCTCGCTCGTGGCAAGTGGGCGCCAGCCAAAAGACCCAGGAGCCCAAGACTTGAATCTTCGAGGCCGTTGGGGGTTCAAAGCCCTCAGATGGCCAGTGGCTTTTCATGAGGAAAAGGAATTGGCATCCTTGTTTGGTTGGCTGACTTTCAAGGAATCAGAACCCTTCCCCCAAAAAAGTAGCAAAAAGGGGCGGAATCCACCCCTTTTTGCCAACTGGGCTCATGTTGAGGTTCTTGGGTTCTCGGGCTTGCTGACCTTCAGAGGCAAGGCGGCGTCATCGCGAGTGGGCCCTAGGTGCGAGGCGTTAGGCGCAGAGCGCGCGGCAAGACCGTCAACGTCTTGCCCATTGCCTCGCTTGGCGAGCTCTCCGAACGACTGGGTGATGTGTTGGTTGGAGATACGGTTGCGACAACGCCCATGAACGAGGAAGTGCATGCCCCTCAAACAAGTGATTTACACAATTTATGTCTATGCCATGTAAATGTGAATGCACAGAAAGAGATCGCCTCACCTCTAAACAACCTGGAGATGTCAAGTTGGATTGTCAGTTTCTTGATCAAGGATTGCCAAGCCGTGGGGACTCAAACAATACCCGAAGGAAACCACAAGGATAACCATAGGGAAAAGTCAAGGGAAAGCCATGAGGAAACCCGTTACAAAGCTGGCCCAGTAAACCCGAGAAACAAACCATCTCACTGAAGATGTCACTGATTTCGAGCAGCTGCCGTTTACTCAAAAGGGTGATGGGCAAACCCACCAAACCCTAACTTTCCCGCGTCATGCCTCTGCTTAGCCCGTGCTAAGAGGGTATCATGGAAACCCAAGCCCCAACTTCGCCAAGCGATCCTGTCAGAAACGCCTTCACGCGGCCTCGATCCTTCAATGTACATTTGCCTGCGCACAGTTTGCGACTTGGAATGGTTGCACTTGAACGTACAAACATCACCTCCTCCCCACTTTCCAAACGAGCTTTGGCCGGTGGACTCCTGGCTGATTTTAGCGCATTCCCAAACAACCTGGCTTTGAGGCCCGCAACCGCCTACCCGCGAAATATCTACTAGAAAAATCGGGGGAAAGCGGAGAAAGAAACAGGCACCCCCGCGAGAAGTTGTGCCCGCCGCCCCTTGAACATAGCCACGAGGCCCGAGGCAAATTTTGAGGCGCTCGCTGCACAGAGCTCGTGAGCTGCGACGATCTGCGCGAGGGTTATTTGGTGATTCGTTCTAAAAACCTCCATTTGCTTTTTCGTCCCCTGGAGAAAAAACAACTATTTCCAGTAGTGATAGATTCCTTTAAAACCAAGTGGGAACAAATATTCTTAACCAATTAAATGGAAGAAATCAGCTTGCTGGTGCGATAGGTAGGGAATGTGCTTAAATTTAACCCAGGCTTTGGTCCCCTTAAAGTTAAAGGAAACCACCTGTTGGATGGTGCGAAATTAGGTCCTCCAAATTTAAGAGGCTAGAATAAGTTGGTAGCCACTTTTTTCGGTTTTCCTTACTTTAGTAGGGGAACCCTCCCAACCAAAACAGTTGAAGGTAAAAGGGCACTACTTGGGGACCTAGAAAAAACAATTTGCTGCTGCGAAATCGGTAGGGGATGTGAAATGGAATGAACCCAGTTGCTTTGGTCCCCTAGGAAACCTCCAGTTGGATGGTTCATCCGGGTCATTCCATTTCTCAGTCCCTGAGCACCAGCACGCATAGGTGTCCTTTTAGGGGAAATAGATGGCCCTGTTAGATGATTAAACCACCAGATTCTATTTTTCCACCAAAGCAACCAAAAAGGACACCTATGCCAGCAAGACAATGGGGTCTTCGATTCTTGGAGGTCCCGCTTTGAAACCTCGAAAAGGGTAGCCTCAGCATTTGCTCAACTGACACCTGTAGATTCTGGCCCATCAGGCAAGGTCGGTGTCAAAACCTATGGCTTGGCCTCCTCTGCTGGTTTCGAATCACTCAGCCGCATGAAGCAGCGGGCGCAACTCTCCAATGGATTTTTTTGGGGGGGTCAGGATTTTCCTGGCTGGAAAAGGCATTCTGAACTGGGAAAGGGACACCGGGTGGAAGCCAGTTAAGCAAGTCTCTGACCAAGCCCTTTCAGATTCCCACGCAATGCATGCGTCCCAAGAAAAAATGAGTCGGGTCTCTTCTCCCAGGTTCCCTTCGCATTCCCGAATTAGGGCCCAACTACCGGACGTAAGCATAGGTGGCCTTTTGGAAAAACAGATGGCCCTGGTAAATGGAATGAACCCCATCTACACCAGGGCCCTCTGTTTTTTAAGCAAACCAACCAAACAGGACACCTATGGACTTAAGACATATTTTGGCTCAGAGATGGGCACCGATCTAAGTCAAATAACTCATGGCGCGTCACCGCCCACAGCTTATTGCGCCCATCGGAGAAGGGAAGCCAACCAGGGTACTTCCGCAGGCAAACCAAAAACGAGACCGTTCACTGGCAGAGCTCTTGTTTCTCGCAACCATTCGATGGAAGACATGTGGGTTCACCAGGCGAATATCAAAGAGGCCATCCATACATGGTCATTCAGTTGGCTTCCAGGGATTCGAGGAACCAAACAGATGCAACCGAAAGCCCGAAGTTTGTTTTTCCTCCACAGCAAACTAACCCCGCTACATTTAGGATTTGCGTCAGTGATGTCAACTTCCTGAAGGGACACAAGGACACTTGAAACCAAACAAACACGCCTGACAGTCCTGTAGCTCCCGGAACTCGAACACCTTTTGTTTTTGGGGAACGCGTCCGATCTCTGCATGAGGCAACACCCTTCAGGTAGTGAAATGGGGCAAGCGCATTTCAACGGATCACAGTGTGAAATGGCTGTGGCTCAAAAAACCGTTACCAAAATGGAACCCTGGGAACCCCTCCTGTTAAATTTTGAGCCCAAATTCAAATGGGAATGGGAGACAGCTCAAGCAAATGGAACAACAGCGCCTTGAACCTGATCGACTGTCAAAGGCTGACAGCCAGGGGAACAGTAGAGGGGTTAGAATAATTTGGTACCCACTTGCCTCAGTTTACTCTATTTTAGTAGGGGGAACCCTCCCCCCCCAAAGGGCAAAAGGGCACTGGGGGACCTAGTCAACCGGAAGAGTACCATTCAATGTGACCCAGGTTTCAAGGAGTTGCCGTCAAGACTCGTTGCCCGAATTGGCCTTAAGTCCAAAAGAGGGTGGTCCATCTCAAAAAACGCCTTCGCGGCTTCCTGTTCGCTGGCCTTCCGGCAGGGATCCCGGGCTCGCGGACCCCATGGTCAGCCTTCGTGCCTATTGGGACCTAGGTAAAAGCCGCTTTTAAAGGCCCGAAACGAACCAAATAAGATGCTTTGAACAACTGCGGTCATCTGGTTTTTCTTCTTTTTTTTTAGAATAAGTAATAAACAAAATGGCGGAACATTTTTGCCTTGCCGGCCCAGAAAAGACCTCGGACACCGCCTCTTGGCGGATTTTTTTTCTTTTTCGGGAGGCCTCCGCCAGCGTCTGGGGCCTGGCTTCGCCTGATCGCTGCACCACGTCTGGCACCAGCAACGCCAGCGAGCTGGCCTGGGTTCAATTTGGGCGGCTCTCGCGGCTCAAGATGGAATATCGGCCCCGAATCCATGAGCCCTAGAGAGAAGCCACCAAGAAACCTTGCAAAAAAACAAGCCTCACATTTGGGGATTTGTCTCGGAAGGCCTGCAAAGCCTTTGGACTCTTCAAATCGGCCAACCTTCTGCGAGCTCAGAGCTCAGATATGCGGGTTCCTTTCCGGCTGTTTCGGGGTGCCATCTGACTTTTGAGGCCTCCGCCAAAACGATCCCTAGAGGGAAGCCACCGCAAAGGGGCCGTGCGGAACCCAAGCCTCACATTTAGAAATCCTTCCTGGAAGGCCCCTAAAAAGCCTTTGGACTCACCAAATGGGCGATACAAAATGCGTGTTTTGTTGGCTCGAAATCTGATTTTGAGGCCCATGGAAGTAAAAGCCGACAACTGGCCCTTAGCGCCCATTTAAGATGCACCCCGAAAAGCTAAAACATGCCGAGGACAGTATTTGACATTCAAGCCGGAAGGCCTTCGTACCCTGGAATTGCACGTTGCATGAACTGCGGGATGACACCTGCTCGTTTTGGACCACGTTGTTGGGTGGCAAAGGGGAGGTCTGGACAAAAAACCAATTACCAAACTTTGTGTTTACCACCAAAATGGAGTTCCCAAAAAGTACAACGTCCGGGAACTCGGGGAGTGAGTTCAAGCCTGGATCCCAAGCAAACACACAAAAGCCCCCTCGAGCGAAAAAGCCCTGTTTCCGGCCCCAGGCAAGTGAGTCCACACAGGCGAGGATCAAACCAAAACCAGGGCCCATGGCGTGAAATCAAAGGGCCCGTGGCGAGAACGCCCCAAACAAACACTAGGTCCTAGATCAACATATCTGATTTACAAACACGGAGCCGGACTGGGTTGCTTTGTTGATCGGAATCACCAGTTGCTCACTGACTTGCATGGGTTGCCCAAAGTCTTTTACAAGCACATCCAACAAAAACTGCAAATCCAAACTAAAATAAAGAAGTACTGGTTCCAGACCCAAACGCGCAAACACGCAAAATGGCACGGACATCGAGTTTGAAGGCTGGGTTGGCGGCAAAAAGCTTCTTCACCCGGCCTTTGAGCAGGCTGGCAAAGATAGCGCAGAGTGGACCACGTCCGAAGGAGCGCAGTCTCGGTCCACCGAAGCGCCCCACGGAAGTTCATACTTGGGAGCCTGGCTCTGTTAGAACGATACGTTGAAATTCCGCGTCTTCCTGCGCCAAATGCAACAAGGAGGATATCTCGACTTGTGAGTTGCAACACGCATTCCAACCTTCCATTCAAGATGCAACTAGACAAACTTGAATGCCCAAGTATCTATTGCCATCCTTCTGCAATGGCGCGCGGCAAGCGTGCAGACGGAAGTCAGGGAGTTTGAGGAAGTGATGCTGGCATGTTAGGAGTCGAAGGTATAAATACCGCAAACCACGCATGATTCATCACGCCGGTGGCAGGCCAGAAAACAACACTGTCACCCCTGTTGCTGTTTAATTGCCGCTTCACAAGCACCGGCTTTGCAATATGCAGGCCTTCATCCAGTCCATCAACATCAAAGGCTGCGCTCAGAACTCCCTACAGTAAGTGTCACTAAGCCAAAGTCCCTTCTCGATCATTCTGGATCCGCGTGGTCATTTCCCAAGTGAAGCTCGCTCAACCCCCCTAGAAAGAAAAAAAAAAACACGGGGACCTCGGCACGGGGAAACGGGCCCCGTTTTGTTCAAAACGGGTGGCTTCCCTTGGTTTCGCCTCCAGGCAACCATGAAAGCTCCCGAACGGGAGCTCCGGAATGGAACACATGACGCTCCATTTCCAGGATCCGCCAGGGGAAGCGTCCGGCTGTATCAGAGAACACCCAAACCACTAGCCTGGAATGTACCAACTTGAACAAACAACACCCAAACCCCTGCGCGCGAATCCCTTCTAAAGCATGCAGAAACTGAAGTAGCTAAGAGCTGCGCCGAGGCCGTGGGCTTGCAATCCGCATGCCTGACCAGCTTGGAGGAACATCCGGATGGATACACAGCAAGGCGTCACCCAGAAAGGTGAAGTGTCTTGTGCTCCTTGACAAGAAATACTTTGCCTACATAATTAAACAATAAACAAACATCATGCAACAGCATGCAACAAAATAATAAACAAACAGCATTTGCAAACATTCCTTGGTCGCATTCTCAAAAAATATTGAATTCAATCCACACTCAAAGCTTGGGGGGCACTCCCTAATCAAGAAGAGGGTCTGATGCTACGCAAATTCCACGGTAAACCCCAAGAAGTTGAAATAAGAATTGGGTCTCCAAGTAAAGGGTCTTCATGGTGAGCTCGTCTTTCCCGAGATCCCTCGTCTTTACAAATTGATCGCTAAGAATTGGCTTGGTATTGGCTGAATCTAATTTAATATTGGGAGATATGGGGTCTGGGACAAACATATTTGTCAACAAGGTGCATTAATTGATATGGGGAACGGATTGTCGGGGAAACCGAGTGAGCTGTTCATCAAGCAAATAATATTCATTTGCTGAAGTCCACTGGAAAACAACCATCCAGTGATAGATTCCCATTGAAACCATCAAGGGAGAATAACACATTGGCCGTACCCAGAGGCTCCTGAGGCTTTCAATGGAAGACCCGACCCCTCCATTAGACACCCCGGACGGTGGTTGGGGGTCTCAAAGCCAGATTGCTTCAAGGCCCATCTGTCAATCGAGTTGGAGCCCCTGGGTAAATACAAAAAACCATCAAGGGAAAATACAACATGGCCATGACCACTGAGGACGAGAAACGGGGTTCACCATGGTAGCTCTGCTGCCTCCAGCCACCGGATTGAGCTGCCCCGGGCGGCACATGCCATGAGCGGCTGGCCGTCCTCAGCTTGAGCCATCAACACAACTGGCCTAGCGCCCGGATCCTAGGAATCATTGTAATGGTTATTGAGGATCTCCACCTGTGAACCCTCAGAAAAGGAACCGTTGTCTTTTTTGGTCTTCCCTTAGGGACAAAACACATGATTATTTTTCACGATCACTACCAGGTGGATGACCATTGCTGTGAACTCTAAGGAACCGGTCTTTGACCATGGCACATATGCTGCCCAAGCAACGTGCTATGCCTTACCAAAGTCAACCAAAAGTCCCGACACGCCCTTGTCGGGTTGAAACTGCCAAGGGGCATCAAACAAACAATGCGGTCCAGAAATAGGTGGGGTCAACGAAAAGCGCTTTGTTGCATGCTTCTCTTTCCCCTAACTCCCCCTCTTCAGAGTATGAGGCTTGGACATGCTTGGACTGGACTCGTCGCTGCATATCGCAAAGCCAGTGCAGCTCCTCATTAGTCGCCTGCCCCAACAGTCTGGAGACAGATTTCGGGGGCTAAGACTCAATGGACAACCAGCATGCCAGTGGGCAAGCGAGGTTTAACAGCCAAGCCCTGCGCCCCTTGAGGAAATCAGAAGGAGGGTGTCAAACCAAACTGGATCGAACTTGTGGTAAACATATGAGAGAGTTCTGGAAATTGCCTTTCCACTTACTCGGAAAAAACCAAAAAAAAAAAAAAAAAAAAAAAAACGACCCAATGACGAACGCTTGGATCAACACCCCCACTTGCGAAACCACCCCCACAAAGGGGTAATGGAGGGTCTCTTTTTTTGTGTGTGTGTGTGTGTGTGTGTGTGGGTGGGCCCGTCCCCTCCATACACTTGCCATGGAGATTTTGCCTATTACATATGCCGAGGTTGACTTCCGCACCAAGAAGAACAAGAACTTCCAGGTTGGGACTTGGCCCCCCGCAGGAATCAGACCTTCTTGGGAAAAAAACCGCTTGAACAGGGAACCCGTTGATTAGTTGGGTTCTCTGGACGGCTTAGCCTCCGGTGCCCGATGGCCCAAGGGCGGCGCCATAGTCCGCGATGCAACCACCAGGCCAGCAGGCAGCAACTTTGACCCGTCCAAGACGCGGTCGAAACCACCGCGGCAGTGCGCCTCCAGACCTGTCGCTTCGAAAGGGCTGGAATGGAAAAACAACGGTTTCATGGACTCTTCGGGGGTGCAATGGGGGGCTATCCCTGGATAAGCCCAGGATAATCCAAGGATAAGCCCTTTTGAGGCCTTATTACGGGCTGAATAAGGGATAGGCCCCCCTCCCCATTGCCCCCCTTGGGGGTCCATGACGGTTGGCCTTTGAGATGTTTCAAGATGGTTGCTTCAACAAAAGGAGGCCGCAAGGTTACACGCTGGCTGTTCAATGACAGACCGCAAGAAATCCAGATGCACTCGGTAACATGACATCATGTAGGCAATTCCCGTTCGGCCCCTATGGCATTGCTCGACTCCTACAGGTAGGCAGTTTTCCTGCATAATATTCTCTATATAATGTGAGGCTGTTTGCGTCGCACGCGATGACTGGCAGCCCTGGGGACCAACTAGATGCAATCCCAGGATGGCATGCCCAACGCCTTAGCGCCTGAGGTAAAACAGTATCTGGTGAGTTCAAGTGACAACCAATGATTCAATGCGCTGGGCAGCTTGAGCGCTGCTTTTGGCTAGTAAGATCAGCGCTCAATGCTATGGATTTTACGAAAACATGCGATTCCCATACGTATCAAGTCCTTCAATTTCAACGGACTTCTCCAGACTAGTCCTCTTCGGATTGCTCCCTGTTCGGCAGGCTCCCCACCTTTTTTCTCTCAGGCACATCCATGCGAACGCACGCGCGAAGGCCAAGCCCTCGCTTTAAACCATGGATTGAAGCAGTGAAGCAACCTGACATTTTGTCTTTCCCCTTTTAAGAAGCAACGCACATATCTTAGTTGTGAAAAATCAGCCTCTGGCTTTTGGGCTTCGAGAGTTCTGGAGGGACTATTCTAGGGGACACTTCCAACCATTCTGAACCCAGGGATCCTTCTTTCAAGGAAACCATCAGAACCGGGGGGAAACAGCGATCGGTTTTTTGAGAAAAGAAGGATGGTTGAAAAGAATGGACAAGGAATGAACCCCTAGATGAATTCGACAAAAGCACGGCCTCTGGCATTTTGGGCTTCCAGAGCTCTCAAAAAACCCTGGATGCTCAGCACTGCTCTGGGACCCCGGCTCTTCCACAGCAAGGTGTCGTTCAGCCACTGCATCTCCTCGCTGGAGACTTTGAGCTCCTGCGATGGATCCTCGCCGCCCGGGCCTGAAAAAGATTTCCCACGTGGCCATAACATGTCGTGGTTTCCCCGTCATTTCCCTTTTAAGCCAAAACCAAAAGGGCTTGGGGCTTGGTTCTGGGGCCATTGTGACATCCTCGAAATTAGACAAATGCGGTTTAAATGGAAGCCACCCACCAAAAAACATACTCAGCCCCCATCAACATGTTCGCTTTGATTGATCAAGCCTTCCCACGTGTATACATACATATTTGACTTATACATATATATGTATATACATATATATATATATACATAATTACATGTAGAAATATAAATATAATTGTATAAATATATGCTCCCCCCCCCCCAAGGGCCTACCTGTTCACTTGTACAGTCTAGAAAAACTGATAATTTCAAAAGTAGGGGGTGAGCATATAGATATATATATATATACATATATGTACATTTTTCGCTTTGATGTTATACACAAGTTTCCTTTATATACCAGTAGAGCCGGCGAAGCCGGTGGGCGGAAGTTTCAAAAAATAAAAACTATAGTTCTCTTTCTCTTTCCTCTCTTGACTCTGTTTTCTCTTCTTCTTCTTCCTTTTCAGTGTTTCTTTTTTTCTTCGTCATTCTCTCTTTCTTTCTGTCCTGTCTTCGCCTCCCTTCTTTCTTTCATTCTTTCTTTCTTTCTTTATTTCGTTCTTTCTTTCTTTCTTGCTTTCTTTCTTTCTTTATTTCTATACTTCTTTCTTTGTTTTCGTTCTTTCTTTCTTTCTTTCTTTCTTTCTTTCTTTCTTTCTTTCTTTCTCTCTTTCTCTCTTTCTCTCTTTCTCTCTTTCTCTCTTTCTCTCTTGGTGGTTGGTGGGTGGTGGGTGGTGGGTGGTGGTTGGTGGTTGGTGGTTGGTGGGTGGTGGTTGGTGGTGGTGGTTGGTGGGTGGTGGGTGGGGGGTGGTGGGTGGTGGGTGGGGGGTGGTGGGTGGTGGTTGGTGGTTGGTGGTTGGTGGTTGGTGGGTGGTGGTTGGTGGTTACTAACTAACAAACAACAAACAAAACAAAACAAACAAACAAACTAACTCACTAACTATCTATCAATCACTCTATCTATCTTCTTTATTTTCTCGATCTACTTATCTATCTATTTATCTATCTATCTATATGTCTAACCTATCTACCTCTCTATCTATCTAACCTACCTACCTGTCTATCCATCTCTCTCTCTCTCTCTATCTATCTCTCTCTCTTTATCTATCTATCTATCTATCTATCCATCTATACATCTATCTATCTTTATTTCTCTCTCTCTCTCTATCTATCTATCTATCTGTCTAGTTATCTATCTAATCTATCAATCTACCTACTTGTCTATCCATCTATCTGTCTTGTCTATCTGATCTATCTATCTACCTGTCGATGTGTGTATCCATCTATCCTCCTATCTCTCTCTCTCTCTCTTCTCTCTCTCTCTCTCTCTATCTGTCTCTGTCTCTCTCTCTCTCTCCCTCTCTGTCTGTCTGTCTATCTGTCTTTTGATCTATCTATCCATCTATCTATCTATCTATCTATGTATTTAGCTGTCTGTCTGTCTGTCTGTCTATCTATCTCTCTCTCTCTCTTTCTATCTATCCACCGATTTATCTATATCTCTATCTCTCTGTCTCTCTATCTCTCTATCTCTCTATCTCTCTATCTATCTATCTATCTATTTATCTATCTGTCTATCTATCTCTATCTATCTATCTATCCATCTCTCTCTCTCTTTCCATCTATCTTATCTATCTATCCGTCTATCTATCTATCTATGCATCTATCTCTCTATTTCTTTATCTATCTATCGATCTATCTTTCTTTATCTGACGATCTGACTATCCCTCCATCTATCTATCTGTCTATCTATCTAACTCTATCTATCTATCTATCCATCTATCTATCCATCTCGCGTGTATCTATCTGTCTCTCCATCTATCTATCTATCTGTCTATCTATCTATCTATCTACTATCTATCTATCTATCTATCTTACTGTCTCATCTCTCTATCTATCTATCTATCTGACTATCTGTCTATCTATCTGTCTGTCTATCTAGCTATCCATCTCTCTATCTAACTGTCTACCTCTCCATCTATCTATCTATCTATCTATTTAATCTATCTGTCTATCTATCTCTCTCTCTCTCTCTCTCTCTCCATCTGTCTTATCTATCTATCTATCTATCTATCTATCTATCTAATCTATATCTATCTATCTATCTACTATCTATCTATCTATCTATCTCTTCTCTATCTCTCTATCTACCTGTCTATCTCTCTAACTATCTACTTTCTTTCTAATCTATTTATCTATCTATCTGCACCTAAACTTGCGAAAGTGCTGCGCCTGCCAGGAAATCTGTACTTGACCTTACGAAAGTGCTACGCCTGCCACGAAATCTGTACCTGACCTTTCGAAAGTGCTGCGCCTGCCACGCAATTCAATCCTTGTGAAAACTTGACCTTGCGAAAGTGCTGCATCTGCCACGAAATCTGTACCTGACCTTTCGAAAGTGCTGCGCCTGCCACGCAATTCAATCCTTGGGAAAACTTGACCTTGCGAAAGCGCTGCGCCTGCCACGAAATCTGCACCTCACCTTGCGAAAGTGCTGCGCCTGCCACGCAATTCAACCCTTGCGAAACCTCCGCGTTGCCGTGCCAATGGGCCCGCGCTCCGAGCACGGTCCGAGACTGCCCGAGCCCGCTCCGAACGCGCTCCGAACGCGCTTCGACCAGGCGCCGCGAACAGGCCAGCTTCCAGCCCTCCGGAGACATTAATTCACGCACGGGGCCACGCTTTTTGCAGATTCCTTACTGCCACCACACGCGCGCGCATATTTTCTCGCGTGCTTATTCCTTCTCTTCATCTGTCTCAACACGGGAGTTCCTTCTAAACTTCCTTTGATTACTCTGCTGCTAGAAGCTCAAACCAGGTCATTCAAAGTATCTCGCTTTTTCTTGTAGCTATGATGTCAGAAGCCAGTCAAATCTCTCTGGAAACGGCCCTGAATGCCACCAACGCGCTCTTCCTCAAACAAGCCCAATGTCGTGGACTTGCCTCGTGGTCCTGTCTCGCCTACTGACCTTCCTCTTGATCATCCCCAGGACAAGAGCAAGGCAAAGCACTTCTTCGACTTTGTTGGCCCTATAGCCTTCGATGCTACTTTGCAATCTCAAGTCAGCAGCGCGGCTAAGGATGGCCGCTTTGCGGACATGCCAGCGCTCTTTCGCTTGAAGACTTCTCCTGGTATGTCATATGGTCTTCAACTTGTTGTTCTTCCTCGTCCTAATGGGGAAAGTTTTCCAGCACGATGCTTCTGTGAAAAAGCTCAGCAATCTGTCTTCCATTCTTCAGAAACAAGTAAAGGATTTGCTTTTTTGGATTTCTTGGAGCCTGTGCAGGTTTTAAGCGTCCAAGGTTCCAAAACCTGCACATGCTCAAAAAAATGAGAAAAAAAAGGAGCTGGCAGGTTTGGATTTTTTTTTCACTTTTTTGAGCCTGTGCAGGTTTTAAGCACCCAAGGCTCCAAAACCTGCACAGGCCCAAAAAAAGCAAAAAATCCAAACCTGGAAGCCTCAAAACCTGCACAGGCTCAAACAAAATAAAATAAAAAAATGCAAAAATCCAGACCAATCAAGCCCTGACCTCTGACATTGCATCTGGGCTTGGCAGTTTTTGCATTTGTTTGAGCCTGTGCAGGTTTTAAACATCCAAGGCTCTAAAACCTGCACAGGCTCAACAAAATGCAAAAAGAAAGGAGCTTTCAGGTTTGGATTTTTTGCATTTTATTGAGCCTGTGCAGGTTTTGGAGCTTCCAGGTTTGGATTTTTTGCATTTTTTTGAGCCTGTGCAGGTTTTGAGGCTGAAACCATCAAAAAAAACGCTAAAATGTGTTTTTTGCAGTTTCCTTAAAAACAACACTGCAAATAACAGTGTTTTCAACACTGACAAAGTTGCATCTGAAAACGCTTTCCGTTTTCGTGTTTGTTGCTTTCTCGAATCCTGTTTTGCATCAAGTACAGAAAGCACATGTGAGACAATATCAAAAAATGCACAAAACACCGTAACTAACAGTGTTTTCTGCAAGGCATCTGCAAACCAAGTGGACACTGAACATCTGCAAATAAATCTCTTTCATGCAACAAGTAGAAAGGTAGGCCCTGGGGAGGGGGGTGACCAAATATATATATATATATATATATATATTCAACTATATGTGCATATGCTTGGGGGTGTCTCGTGATGGCTACCCTTTTGCGGCTAGGTGGAAGCCAAAGGGGAGCAACAGGGACAACCGCCCTGCCATTTTTGGGTCAGGGACCTGGTCATCTTGAGCTCCCCTCCAATTGGGTGTGTTGCAGGGAACCTCTTGTCGTTTTACAGGGGCACCAACCATTCTAACCATTCTGGGTGGCTCCCCATTCTGGAAAAACCTGTAGGTTGCATGGTTGAAAATGTTGCCCAACGTGGGATGACGGAACCCATTTGAGTGGATTCTTTTTGGTTCCCCTGTACTGCTTCCCAAGACCAGCGTACCTTCAAAACAAGACCAACGTCCGAGCCAACCTTGGACCATCCTCTGCCATTCTAAAGGCTAATCCCTTTTGTTCGCCCATTTGGGGCAAAACTCAATTCGCCAGTGCTTTCTAAATGCTCCTCTTTCTATCTATGTATGCGTTTGTAGTGTTATACATCTGGGTGATTTATAATAATTCACCAACATGAAATAGGGTGGTTGGGGAGCTATTCCCCGCATAAACCACCGTTTGGGGTGAGGTCGTGTGCAGTCGCTATACCTCACCCAGATACATGTACATCTATAAGCAGATGTGTATGTAGAGATGAGAAAAGGTGCCATCCTCCCGCAACCCGGCCTGCGCGCCCTTCTCTGTGCCTTCTCGAACCTGGCTCACGCTGGTGTCACCCGCCTACCCAAACATCACCCAAGACTTCCATTTGGTTCAGACCCCTGGAAAAAAATGAAATATGTCCAGTGGTGATAGATTCCCTTTAAAACCAACAGGGGAATATAACAGATATTCTTAAGCAAATGGAAGAACAGCCAACTCACAAATTGGTAACCAAAAGGTGAGGAACAAACCACCCTTCAAGGAAACTAGGGAATGCACAATCCCGGCCTGGTCAACATGTGAGGGATTTGCCAGGATGGCTCTCGAAAAGGCACGGCCAGAGAAAAACCACGTGCAGCTCAACTTGACATCTGGAGTTTTCAAAGTAAGCCACGCGACATCTCGCTTTTTTCAACCCGAGCTCGGACGTGAAAAAAGTCACTCCCCTTGAGACCCGTGAGCCGGTTGTGTGACCCTGCAAGGGGCCTCGATTCCACTTATAGCTGGGAAGTCATCCAAAGGGATTTGGAGGCTGGAATCCGCTGGCGAACTGAAGGTGGGCCCATCAATCAGAATCAGCCAAATGAAGGTCAAAGATGTCAGCCCAAGGAGAGAAAACAAAGAGATCCTAAGAGCAACCAACTGAACAGCGACAACGAAACGCCGCGGCCTCACTCACATCGATCCGATCCTGTCAGTCGAACTGCAACCGATCCGGGATCTCAGCTTCCCATCCAATTCCCCCCCCTTGTGCTGGCTGGATTGAAATGGGTTGAAGGGAAACCCGGGAACCCAAAATGGCGCACCTTCTTCCTGGCATTGAAATGGGTTGAAGGGACACCCTAGGCAAACCTTAAAAAAAACCTCCAAGACTCATTCCCTTGGTCAGCTTCCCCTTGGCTTGGTTCGGAGTGGTTTGGAGGTATTCTGGGCTCCTGGGTTGCAATTTGAGCAATCCAAACCAAAGGGTCACCAAAAAATCCAAGCGGCCCAAGCGAGAGGAAAACGAATCAGAGCAACCCACCAACCCGGCGATGAGCTTCCTCCCGACTTCAGGCCTGAGGTTGCCTTGTGGCATGGAACCTTTTGGTTACAAGTAGGGTAACGGGCAAAACCCGCGAACAAATTAGCATAGGTTTGCGGCTGAGTGTGGCTGGCTGACTTGCATTCAGGGCATCCACCATACCTCTCATCCCTCTGGGCAGGTAATGACGATTTTCCCCTGGCTGGCCATAACTTAAGAGGGTCTCCAAGAAGTCGGAGCAGCACGTTCAGAAGCCATTGACCCAATGCTCTACTTGAGAGACTGATTTAAGGATCCCATACCCTGCCATCCACACGGAACCCTCGTCTGCGGTCCTGGTGAGACAACGTTGCTTTGCTTCTACAAGAGATCCTCTGGTAGGTTACAGGCGAGTCACAGCGAGTTGGAGGGCCACTCGGCGAAGCTTGGAACCGAAAACAGGCGTCCTCCAAGGGGAAGTTCCTCCAAAGCTGTGAAGGAAGCCTGTCCCTGACACTCTTCGATCTTGACACTTCAAAAAGGAGAGCTTCGGTGGGGTATCGCAGCTCCCCGGAAAGCTGGAAGAGGTGGTGTTGCGTGGGGTCCGCTACCAGTGTATGACCAAAAAGTTGGCAGAGTGCTGTTGCCGGGTGCTGTTGCAGGGCACCGCAGTGTTTGAAGTATGCAGATTCAACAGGTAAGCCTTGGCTAGGCACCTGTGGTGCTCCCTCAAAAGGTACTCAAACGGGACGCCTCTAGGTTCCATGTTCCGTTTAGTCAGTTCAACTCAACCGCTCTGAGAATAGTCATTCACATTGGAACCCCAACACCGGCAGTTGTTGGAAACTTGGGCGTATCGGCTCTCACTTCCTGATCCGTTTCCCACTACAATGGCTTTGCCGATTAGTATAAAGACCGGAAACACAGGGTAGGCCTCCATGAAACCTCACGCACCCTCAAGAAACCTCATCCACACATCACTAAGGGCAGTTCATGTCAACTAGCTTTGGGTTAAATCAATGCAATCAATGTGGAGCACATTCTTCCACCCCGCCTCGACGACCTTAACCTGCACAGGCACCTGCTCACCCGCCGCCACACGCCGCCCAAGCCGATTCTCCTGCAGAGACAAGACGCTTACGCCCTAACGTGGAAACCAGCAACTGCACCCCCCAAAAGCAGATTGCTCCACAAGAGCGGCATTTTTGCGGGGGCTTCCATGCAAATCGGCAGGAGGGCAGCCATGCAAATCGGCGCCCTCACATAAGCAGGGCTCATCTTGTGTCGGCTCCCTCAAAACGGGGGTCAATCGGGGTCAACATCAAAACCATGGTGGTTTTGGTGGTTTTGCCCAATGGTCATCCCATGTAAAGGATATTTTGATCAACCCCCATCACTTGCTCAAAACCCGGTATGAAAATGGTCCACCCAGAAGCATATAAAGAATTAAGAAAGCGGATATCCGCATGAGATCATCCCAAGGGGGCTGCGTCCATAGCCCCTGGGCCCCTGGGCCCTGACCTCAGCGGCTGCTCCAAACCTTTGAGCTTTGCTGCATTTCCGAGGGGAAGATTTGTATTTTGATTGCGACTAAACTATCCCCCTTGAGATTGCCCCAATCGAATTGGTGATCAAAATCCCCACTCCCTAGTTTTAGAGGGGGATACTAAACTGTTTTTTGTTCAACACCATGTCGAACAAGTAAGGGTTTGGCACGGGTCGCATACGATGACCGACAAAACGCTTCACACAAGCTAGAGAGAAATGCTTGCAACAAAGACTGGGGGGGGTGCTCTCGGACCCAAAAGCGCAACCAGCTTGCCCGATGCTTCAGGCTTCAAACCTGCTTCAGGGCTTCAGCTTTGCCCCCCCACATGGATTGGCGCTTGAAAGCATGTGGCGAAAACCACGTCTGCTTTCCTCAACTCGTGGGAGAATTTGATGGCTAGGTCCAAGCGACATCCTCAAAATTCGTGGGGATGCAGGGCTAAGCCTCACCTCCCTGCACCAGACAGCGGTCCTCGTCATGCCACAGAGGCCAAATGGCCTGAGACCCCAGCTTGATGCGCGTGCCACTAGTGTTCGGTAAGATGAACATGGGAGCCCCGAAGCCATAGCCGAAGCAATCTCCTTTCAATGGGTTCCACGTTGATTTGGGGGATTGTTTAGGGACTTATGGTGCTTGGGTTGAGTGCCTTCAACACATCAGCTAGGTGCCCACTTGCAAAAAGATTCGTACAGGAGCTTTACATTGCGTGAAGTGCCCTTAAAACCAACCGAAAGTGAACGCGCTTAAACAATCACCGATTCCTTGGCCATTTGCAGCGCACCGAACACATATTCGGATTTTGTTCTACATGTACAGCCTAAAGTATAAAATGGTTTTGACGGAGGCCCCCGGTTGCTGACAACAAGGATCTGCGCACGCCCGGCCTGAGGCCAGTGGTTCTCCAAGCGCCCTGGGCGCGAGGAAATGGAGTTCCCCAGCTTGTCTAAGTGAAGGTCCCACCAGACCTTAGCTTGGCCCAAATCTGCGCGCCCAAAAGTGGGCGTCACAGGGCGTCACACAACATGATCAGATTGTGTTGCATATTCTAGTCTACCCTTCAACCTTCTTTTTTGGAGGGGACCTCTGCTTGTCAGATCTCCGTTAAACCTGATGGGCAACAGCTCAGTTGCCCAAATTGCGGCCTTCGGACCACCAAACACGGCTTGCCACTCCTTCACAATGCATCGGCTCAAAGCCCTGCCATCTAGGCACCTGCTAGCTCAGGTGGTCGCCTTTCGCGTGCGCTTCGGAGGAAGTCAAGCATCATTCGGGTGTGTTTCAATCGAAACTGAGACGCAACAGCCACTCGCCCTCCCTGGGTGCTTCTCAAAACAGGCTCGCCCCAAACTGGTTGGCTCTCTTTACATTCTGCCGGCTTTTGGGGCCCAGAGGGAAGAACACTAGCAAAGCTTCACTTCCCAGTGGATTTGAGCCCGGCCCTAGGAGTTGGATTTCTTGCCCCCCCGCCAAAAAAAAACTCTGGGCATTGACGCAAAAGCCTGCATTTCTTTACACAAACTTCAACTTAAAATGAGGGATCCCCAAGTAAGAAGTGAGGATGCCGAGTGCCCATGTGAAAAAAAGAATTGGCATCCTTCTTCGTTGGCTGACTTTAAAGGAGTCGAAAGCCTTCCCAAAAAAAAAGAAGAGAAACAAGGGCATCCTTCTTGATTGGTTGAGGTTACAGGGGCATCCTTCCCAAAAACAAAAACAAAGACAAAGGGGCACCACTAACCAACTGGGGGTCGGAGAATCCGAATGTCTCCCGTCTCAGGTGCGGACCACGATGCAGTGCGCTGTTGCCTCCTCCAGCGCCAATAGTCTGGCCAGTCGCGTGCTCCCCTGCAGCCTGGGCTGCAGGACCCATAGTTCAGTGAGTGAGATGGGCACGAGCGGACCCAGCTTCACAAGGGGGATGGTTCCCGCTTCTTGAATCAACCTGAAAAGAAAAAGGGGGCTCTGGAGGTTTGTGCGTCGCAACTAGGGAGCCGAAAGCTGGAGAGGGACTGGTTGAACATTTCGATTTGGGGGTTGAATATGTTTTCTTGCGAGAAAAAACACCTTGATAGCTTCGCTATGTGGAAACCACTCATTCAAAGTTAGAGAAAGAGATCGAGCAATTTGCGCCAACCAACCCAGTCACAAAAAATATGAAACCAAAAGTTTCGGGCATTCCTCACAAGGGCAGCCAAAAAAACAAACAATATAATGTGTGAGGTTAGTTTCTGTTTCAAATCGTATAGGCCCACTGTCCACCTCTGAGATCAAAACACGGCGCCCGCCCGCCAATATTAAAAACCGCGGGGAAATCAGTTGACAACTCTTCCTCAAACTTGGGGTTTTTATTCTCTAGAGTGGTCTTGCACTGGGGATCCATTGTGGGTTAGTCCCCCTTTTGGTGGAATGATGCTTAAGGGCAGACTGCACCCTTGTATTTGCTGGACGAGCCTACCAACTGATGCAGGATGTTATCCAGCCACAGTATGGTTTGCTCCAATGCTGAACCATGACATGTCCAATGTAAAGTAAGCTCACACTTTCCCAGGAAATTCCGGCTTCCCGCATTTTCAGCATCTCTGGTACCCCCCAACCCCCCCCCCCCTCACTTTCCGCTATTTTTAGATGTCGTACAGAGATTGAATCCCTGCCCGGTATTCCTCAGCTTACCCAGCAAAGTGATTCAGAAAACCTTAGTTAAGGAAATCGCCCGGGGGGGATGGTTCATCCCAACTCATTCCCTGCCAAATGCTAACCCTGGATAAAAAAACAATGTTTATTAATATGGGGGTGTTCCTTCACATTTCTTTACATTGCAGTACATTACAGTGCATGATATTACATTACATTACATTGCAATGCTTTACACTACGTTGCGTTGCATTGCATACTTGCATACTTACATACCTACACACCTACAAACCTGCAAGCCTGCAAACCTACATACCTGCATACCAAATACCTACATACCTACATACCCACATAGCTACATACATGAACAGGAAAGCAGACCCACCCTAAAAAAAAACCCGGAAAAAAAGGCAACCATAAACAAATGCCCTCCGTTTAAAAATGCCGAGACGGCTTTTCCTGCTGACTTGAACAGACATCGGAGGCATCAAGCCCAAACAAGGAGAAGCATGCTCTCGACTTTCTCTCCTGAGCTGGCCCTCGCATTGCAGACTTCAAGCGTCTTTCTGAGCGGCAGCGATTTGCCAGGCAATCGTATGCACCTTTGGCGCGTCAACTTCGTGCTTGCACGCAAGCGTGAAGAGCAAAACTTAACCTTCAGTGACTGCATCCGTTCAGAAGGGAAGCGGTCAAAGATTTCAGGAAGGACTCATCGAATCAGCTATCAAACATGCAAGCACATTCAGTACTACTACTGGGGCTTGAACGATTTTGCGTCAGCACCTTTCTGCAGCGTTGCGTGAGAATTACAGCGGATGGGGAGGAGGCAGGCCATTTTAGTGCCCAATCATCATTAGCCAGTTACATCTGCGCGGTGTCAGCCTAAGACCGGAAGACGCCCAAGGTGGAGACATCCAGCAAGCACGAGCATCGTCTGCATCACCGCAACTGCCGAACAGAGTCAAGATTGCTGCACTGTACGGATGCAAACGCGAAGCTCCCGAATTCGGAGAACCTTGCTGATGAGGGCGCAAACACCTCGGCGAGCAACCAGGACAAGAAAACTTGAGCAGGCAGAAACCATCACTGAAACTCTGTGAATCTTCCATCCAATCCTCAAGCTGGACCTAGCTCACTGTGCAGCAAAGAAAACGGTAAAGAAGATGGCCAAGCAACACAAGCCGGGGACGAGGGCAGATCCGCACAACCTCCCAGACCCTGCATGCCTTAGATCAATTTTCCCCCGGCTCAGGCCCCTCTACAAGTTCAATGGCCTTGGCACTGCAAGCGGCGCTTCCCACAAGCTTTGCGGTTTTTACGCCAGATGGAACCACTTAGCTAAAGAAAGAACGAGGTGGGCCACTTGTACAACTACTAGGATGATTGCATGCACTTATGGGGCTCTGGTGGTATGAGTCCCTGCAAATATGTCCAGAAAAGTTTGAAAACCGCCATGCATACACTTCAAAACGCCTCTAGTTGCTTGCCAGGCGCTTTGCGAAACAAAACGCTAGAACCCTGAAGGTGCAGTTGGTGCAGACTGCCACACTTTTCCTCTTGCATCTCTTCTCCTCCGCTTCGGCCTAAAGGCCGTTGCATGCCCAACGTGTCTGTTGCGAAAGACCGACATGCAGTGGCCAGCGCTAAGCGGAACCTCAGCAGCCCTGCAACATCCGGGGTCCTTAGCCCTCAGCCCTTGCAGCTGCTGGAGGCGCATTTGATGGCAGAGTCTCCAACCAAAAAGCATCCGTTCGATCACGGCACGCGCGCTGCTGCCATGAATGGATGCACATATCCGGCGAGACCCGTTTCGCAATGCTTTGCAGCTGCTTGCGGGGCTCAACTCAGTGGGAAAGACCAGGAGGCGGGGATGCCTGACAGGGACAGCTCGACCGCCGTGTTCACAAACTCTGGCATGCAGCTGAGGCACTGAGGCACCGGATCCAACACCGCATAGGTGTTAGCAAACACGCCGTTTGCTACCCGGTAGACCTCGTCAAGTAGTCCCCGGGTGGCCATTGGCATGCCATTGGCAAAGAACAAACCTTGCAAGTCGATGGAAGTAAGTAAGGTGAAAGAGCAGCCAAGCAACTCTAGCACCACTCAAGACCCAATGGACCTGGAACTTTGTTCCGGGATCTTGTCCAAAATCTGCACCTCCAGTTGGAGAGCTGAGCTTCCTCGGTCATTGTGCCTGCTTGCAAGCAGTATTGCGTCTTGACCAGCAGCTGCTTCACGCCGCACGCGGCAGGGCGGGTATACCTTGAAGCCCTCATCCATGAGCTTGGGCCGGCCATACCAGCCAGGCCTTCAAGATGCTCGGCCGCCTGTCAGCCCCGCGGGGAATGTCAACCGTGTTGAGGATAGATCAGTCGGTTGAAACATCTGCACTTCAAGCCCCATGTATGCCGGAGAAATGTTTGCTCCGCACACCATTTCACACCTTCTCTGCGCTGGTGCTCCGCACAAAACAGAAAATTATGTATTGAAAGGCAACCGATGCAACACTGGTTGGCGTTGGGCATCTGCCATTTCAAAAGTTTCCGACAAGCGACAACAGCAAGTGCAGGTCACAACAACCAAAACCTCACGTATGAAACATTGTGCTTGGCATTTGGCATGTCGAGGTTGGAGGAGCTTAACATCACGCGCATGAGGCGCGTGCATTGAATTCAGGGCCTGTTCCTCCTGCACTCGCAACCCACTGACCACAAGCATGTTACGAACAGGTATCATCTTGGCGCAGACAGTGCCTCACAACCGTAAGTAAAGCGTGAAATGCGGCGCGAGGAGTTCATGCTTTGCCAGTCAGCCATGTAAACAGGAGATCAGTCGAGAATGAGGTGTGCAACGAAAAGGGAGGGCGCATTGACGGTGAATGACTGGAGGAAGAATGACTGGAAAGCAAGCAGGGCGACGGGGAAACTCTCTTTCTCTCTCTTTCTCCCTCTCTCTCTCTCTCTCTCTTTTTCTCTCTCTCTCGCTCTCTCTCTCTCTCTCTCTCTCTCTCTCTCTCTCTCTCTCTCTCTCTCTCTCTCTCTCTCTCTCTCTCGCTCGCAACACGGCGTTGAGCCGCGTTGTGCAATTCTCTTCCACTGTCTAGCTTCCAAACGAAAGTTCAGGGTTTTGTGACTATCCTAGCGGAATTGCCGGGGAGGTTGCAAAACCCAAATTCGGCCACCAACCTCGTCTAGATGCCCCCAAGGCTACCTTTAACCAAGTACGGAAATGACGCTACAAATCCGGTCGGTTGGCGATCACTGACGCGCTTGACGAGCTGTTCGGCTGGATTTCGGGGAGCCCCGCTCTCTCGCGTGCAGAGTCACAAGATAAGCTTTGCTAGGTTGATGGCTCCTGCCACCAATGACTAGGAAGTGCAGCGCCTTGTCAAACCCGAAGCATCTGTGTGTGTGTGTTGGGTGCAAGTTGTTCTGAAACAGCAACTTAGAAAGACCCCTTGAATTGGGTCTAAAATGTGTTTCGAATGAGGCAAGCACAACTGCGGATTCATAGGCAACTGCACGCCTTTGGACCTCCCTCGCGGGTAGTCGCGCTTTTTATGCAGGGGAAGTCAATCCCATCAAGGACAGCTGACAGACAAAATGACCAAACCACGCAAGTATTCCGAGGATTCTGAATTAGCAACGATCTTAGATCCGTAGTATTTGCTTCCTGTTCGTGATGCTAGCATTTTGAGGGCCAAAGGGCTGAACAATGCGCGCAGCATGCGGAGCAGTTCGGTACAACATGTCTTGAACCGGTTGGCCGAAACAGAACACTGCCTGCTGATGTCAAACAGCTGAGTTTCTTCGGGTAATTAGTAATGACTTAGGGTAGATTTGCAGTGACAAACCAATTGTATGTAGGCTTCAGGCCTGGCGCACATATGAAAAGTTTGGGCTTGGTTTATAGGTTTAAGCTGGTCAGGGTCGGTCAGGACCGCCCAAAACTGTAAACTCTCAAGTGCGAACGGGATACTCAGGAGGCTGACCTTCGTGGAACCCCAGACTCCCCTTCATATTCGGCAGGGCTGCGCAGCGACAGGGCTGCGCAGCGATCATCGGCCGATGTCCGATGCGCCTGCGGACATCTTCTTGAATGCCTCTGGCGCAGGAGACCAAGCACCTGCTGAAAGCCGTTGCAGCCATGGCTACCAGTGGCTACGCGAATTTCACAAATCGATCCCGAATGCCTGCAATGCGCTCACAGAATTTCAGCCCTGGCCAAGGGAGAGTCACATAAGTCAAAGCCGGCGCCTGCTCAGCAGAGCTAGGAGCGTTTGTTGCTTTGTGACTCTACCTCATAGAGCGCAGCTCCGCACCACCATACGCACAGAACACTACAGCACTAAAACACATGTATGTACAAACATTACATTACATTACATTACATTACATTACAGTACACTACATCACGCTACATTGCATTACGTTACGTTACATTACATACATTACATACATTGATACATACACGCCTTACATACATTGAATATATTACATACATACATACATACATACATCCATCCATCCATCCATCCGTCCAGCCACCCACCCACCCATCCATCCATCCATCCATCCAATCAGCAATCCATCCATCCATCCATCCATCCATACATGCATACATACATACACACATACATACAAGTTGCTTCGTACAAGTTGCTCTGTGCAAGTGCTTTGCGCAAGCTGCTCTGCGCAAGTTGTCTAGTATAAGTTGCTCTGCGCAAGGGGCTGACTGCTGAGAGCGTGCCCGCCGTGAAGGCCTACTTGCTTCACCCCACCAGACCCAAGATCCCTTGCCCAATTGTCCTTGCATCTCCTTGCTTTGAAACATGGAACTGCTGCGGTCAAGGAACATCTCTGAATCTCTTTCTTGATCAAAGATAAGCAAAGCCTTCAAGCTCTTCAAGCATCAAGTCAAAGCAAAGCAAGCCGACATTCAGGGATGCTAGTGGAGTGGTTGCCCAGGATGAGGTGTTGCTTGTGTGCTGCTCGCATACAGCACTTGGCTGCCGCATCGGTTAAACTCTTTAAACATCAAGTGCCCACACCCCCATATCAATAAACAGCTTGGTGTGTTCATCCGGGGCCACCATTCTAGGCCCAGACAAGCGGCTCTCGCATCTGCTCGACCTCGTCGAAGCAAACCCGTAGCAGCTCCACAGGCTCACTGAGGATTCGGTGCTCCTAAGGGTCCCAGTCAAAGGTGTCCTTTTAGGGGAAATACATGGGTTTCCCTGGTAGATGATTAAACCACCAGGTAAACCAGGAATCGCCATCTATTTTTCCACCAAAACAACCAAAAAGGACACCTATAATCCCAGTTGCGACAAAGGACATCGGACATTCAGGGCATTTCAGGGCTCCTCGCCTGGTTGCGGGATCAGAGCTCCTTCCCCCACGTTTCTTCCAAATTGCACTGCGGCAAAACGGCAACATGGACCCTCAAACTACCCGCGAACATGGTAGCCATCACTCGTAGTTTTGGGCGATATAGACAAAATCCATTGTTTCAGGCTAGCTTGAGGGTCTAGGAGCTCTGCCTTGCTATGGCCGAAACAATTCTTTATAAAACAAACAACATGAAGACAAAGTCATGATGCCGGCCGCTGAAACTCAGGGCCGCCTTAAGTCATGTATGCCCCATGTCCCCCCCCCAGATGTCCCCCCCCAGCAAAATAAGGGTTCATGTCCATGTGGGCTTTCCACAAAATAAGAATTGGATCCTGAAGTAAAGAACTTTCGCCGTGAGCTCGTTTGACACCCGAATCGTTGGACATGTTGCAGCCAACGTCGCCGGGGCTCCATCTTGTCTAAAAAGTCGCACAGTGCTCCGTCTCTGCGGAGGATGCATTCGCCACGCAGCTGAAATCCGTCGCAAGAGAAAAAGGCCTCACAGGCAAAAAGGCCCTGCCTGGTTAGCCTTTTTGGACCAACACTGAAACCAGCATAAAACTCTGCAAAACGCCAAGCTTAAAAAAAACAGTGACAAACCCAAAGGTTGACATTGAACCAAACCAAAACTAAAAACCAACAAGACGAGGCCAACAAAAACTTGCTTTGCTTAGGCTCTTGCAGGGCGGGGCAGCAGATGAGTTGGCCATACACCGTGGCGCCGCATGGGATGAGCTGGCCAGTGGGCTTCAAGAGGCGCTCGCAGGCGTCCATTGCCGTCCTCACCGAAAAAGACCCAGCCTCCTTGTAGCCTTCTTTCCAGAGGGAACCAACCCTTTTGGGCTGGTTTAAATGAATCCTGCCACCTTCTGAGAAGGGTTTCAAAGTGCCGACCAAATTCATTCCTGGGTAGCGTCTCCAAAAGGGATTTGAGAGAGGATCAACCTCATGCTATGGGGGGATGGGGGGTGTCACCCACCGAGAAAGCCGCTGAAATTCACTTGAAATTTCAGCCCCCCCCCCAGTCCCCCAGTTCGTGGTTTGGTTTGGTGGTTTGGTGGTTAAAAGGGTGCTACCTTCCACAAGAACCCGCTTTTCATTCCACAAGAACCCGCTTTTTCGGACCCCCAACCAATGCAAACCACCAATGAGGGGATATAACAAAGAGGGGTTGTTTGCCGTCTACACAGAGTCCAAACCCCCGGAAAGAAACAAAGAGACATAGCAAGCGTGGTTGACTATTGCACGTGGGCCCGATGTCATCGACAACAAAAACTACAACAAAAACATGGGGCCTAGTGGGTTTTGTGTCTGGGAGGCCGCATAGATGGAGTTTCAATCGGGACTCTTCCGCCCAAATGTCGATCTAGTTGTCACCAGTTGCGCCCTCTCGTTTGGCTTGTTGGATGGTTGCAAAGCTACTCAGCCTGAAAACTGGCATGCAACCCAAACTGTAGTACTCTCCTTTCGGGTTGAAGTTTTGTTTGAGCTTCTCAGGCACCTTTCAAAGGCTGATCAGTGCAAGTTAGCTCGAATGAACACTCTCCACAACGACACAAAAACGTGCAAACCAAGCCAACCTACAAGAAAAGCTAAACCCAACCCCCCCCCCCAAAAAAAAAAAAAAACAAACCAAAGAAGCAAAAGGAACAATTTAATGGTCTTCCTTCCTTCCGCGCGTTTTGCGCGAAAGCTCGCAGCCTCGCAGCCAAGGGGCCCCAAGAAACCTTCGCCCAGGAGCTCGGCATCCACCGCCTAGGCTTTGCGAGTTCTGCCGAACGGACCAAAGCCGGATTCATGTTCGACTTTAGGGTTTGGGCATGGGGTCTGATTGGACATTGCTTTCTTTGCTGGTTGTTCCTATAATTGTTAGTGTTGTTTAGTCTTGTTTATTTTTTTTTGGGGGGGGGTTGAACATGTCCTCCTATGCTTCTCTTTTAACTTAATCCTATCCGTTCTTGCTTTGTTTGGAAAAGAACCGAACCAAAAAAGGAGACCCCCCCCCACCAAACTCGGTTGGTACACAGGACCCTTCTGGAAGACTACCTTGCTCCGTGAAATAGTGTGCAAGTCTGCGAAAGGGCTCCGACCCACAACAAGACACACCCCAGCGAGCCAAACTGAATCCCTGCCGTGATGAACCATCGATGTTGTCTTAGATTGGGCGATCCAGCCTCTCGCCTGGCCCAAAACGACCATGGGTTGACATATGGATGTATACATTTTGAAAGTAGGAAACAATTTGAAAGAGCCCCTTGAGTTCACAATTGGCATGTGATTGCTGATTTGTCTGACACATTTGCAACAGCAATTCAAACATCTCTCAAGTCCATGCTTTGTTTCAACCCATCCCGCATCCTTGCGTGTTGCTTCCCTGGACAGAAGCAGCTCCAGAAAAAATGGTCTGCGCCAGTCAGAACACGTAGTACTATTCACTTTAATGCTAGAATATTTCCATGACGTCGCTTGAGTCATAATCAGAACCAGGCATGAATTCAGGGTCGACGGTCGACGGAAAGCCCCAGCGTCAAGAATTCTGGCTTCCTAAGTACATTAGTCAGAAAAAGCTTGGACTCGTTCTTTACTACCAGAACCATCTTCCCAACAAGCCGAACAAGTCCACCCGGGGCTGCAGTTCACCACATCCGCGCCCTGGCAAAGGTCACCCTCCTGCACACAAAAATCGCTTTTCCGGAATCTCGCGCTTCGAGCCGCCGGGCGAACCAGGCCGCAAGACACAAACGGAAGGGACCCGACACCATAGGATTGACCCAAGCTCAACTGCGAGGCTGCCTCTAAAGTAAAGGATCCCCTCCCAGCAACAGACCCGTTTTTTCGGGGCCCGGGAAAGACAACAGCAATCGAGGCCAGCTTGGCCGCGCAAAACCGTGTTTTTCTTGGGAAGGGCCCCCCAATCCACGATCATATCCCACCGAAAGAAAACGCGGCTCGGTGCACTGAGCCCTGAGCCCTTTTGTAGACTACCTTCTTTTTGGAAAGGGTGTATGCGCACCAAGCCATCCCTCACAATCCATGTAGATGAAATATATACCAACATTTGACCCGCATCTCCCCCCATGAAGTGCTTGGGTGTGTTGGTGCGCGGAAACCGCGCCTCGCAGAAAATGAGATCGAAGGGGTCCAGCTGCAAGGAGCGGCTGTTCGCCAAATGCAGCACCTGTGTCGCCCAAAGGCCTCCGATTCTTGGCTGCTGCCCCCTATTCGTCAGCCCAATAGGTGCCCCAAACCCTCCTAACATGGAACCCACCAAGTGTGTTTTGGAGGAACATGGTTCCACACCAGGACCCCCCCCTCTCGTGGGAGGGCTCTGTTTCCATTCCAGACCGCACGCGGCAGGCCTTCGCGTTGCGAACTGAGAGACATCTGTTGGGATAGGTTGTACTTGGTGGCGTGGGCCAAAAAAGACGATGGGCAGGCGTCAAATCAAGGGGGGACCCAAAATGGACTTTGATGTTCCTTCGGTTTCTCTTTAACCCGACTCTAAGGGAACTGAGCAACAAGACTAACAACAAAAACACTAAGACATACAACTTGCAATACCAGACTTAGCGCACCTGTTTGACTTTCGGGGGTCGGTTGCGTCTGGCCCAAGGCCCAACCAAGTCCGATGAATTAGAAGGCTTGGGAAACCAGCAGTATCCCTTTGCCAGCCAACCCCACCAGCTTATCAGGATGGTTTTGGAGGGTAAGAGGTCAAAGTAATGTTGGCACTTGATTAATAAAGGGCCCCCCCCCTGAACAATGGAGGCGCCAAAATAATGGGGGTGCACTTTTGGGACGTCCAAACAATGGAGGGTTTTGGGGCCCAATTCTACTTTAGTATTGCAGCCACTTCCTTTTTGCAGTTCTACTTTAGTATTGCAGCCACTTCCTTTTTGTTCTACTTTAGTATTGCAGCCACTTCCTTTTTGCAATTCTACTTTAGTATTGCAGCCACTTCCTTTAGTATTGCAGCCACTTCTTTTTTGCAATTCTACTTTAGTATTGCAGCCACTTCCTTTTTGCAATTCTACTTTAGTATTACAACCACTTCTTGTCAACTGGGGGTTTGGCTTTGGGTTCTGTGGTTGAGCAACCAATTGAAAGGGGAATGCTTTTAAGCAAGTGGGCCACCAATTGAAAGGGGATGCTTTTAAGCAAGTGGGCCACCAATTGAAAGGGGAATGCTTTTGGGCAAAGCAAGTGATAGTTTATTTTCTGGGAGGGGGGGCTGGGGGGCTTGCCACTATTGTGGTCCCCTAAAACAATCACATTATTGTGGTTCTGTGGGGTCTGTGAGGGGTACCCTTGTCCTGATTGTTTTTTTTTGCAATTTTTTAGCACGGTTTAATAAAGAGTTTGCAGTTTCAGGGCTAGGGATGGTTTTCAAATTTCAGAGTTTCAGCTGGCTTTGGGTTCTGTGGTTGCTCAACCAATTGAAAGGGGAATGCCTTTAAGCAAGTGGGCCACCAATTGAAAGGGGATGCTTTTAAGCAAGTGGGCCACCAATTGAAAGGGGAATGCTTTTGAGCAAAGCAACTGATAGTTTATTTTCTGGGAGGGGGGGCTGGGGGCTTGCCACTATTGTGGTCCCCTAAAACAATCACATTATTGTGGTTCAGTGGGGTCTGTGAGGGGTACCCTTGTCCTGATTGTTTTTTTTTTTTTTTTGCAATTTTTGAGCACGGTTAAACAAAGAGTTTGCAGTTTCAGGGCTGGGGATGGTTTTCAAATTTCAGAGTTTCAGCTGGCTGGATTTTGGGGTCAACATGGATTTTGGGTGATTGTTCGGGTTTTTATTGTTTAATGCTTTGTGTTTTTTTGTTTTGGATTTTTCCCCCTGGCCAAAAAAACTTTCTATTATTCTGGTCCCCGTAAACAATGGGTGTGAACCATAATAAGGAAAACAACTTTCTATTATTCCGGTACCCTTTACTAATCGAGTGCCAACATTATAGTGCCTGAAATCCAAACATATCATCGTGCCCGGTGCATAAACAGTTCGACCCACCATGTCTTGCTCTCCCTCAAGGCCACCATTGTCCAAAACAAAACGTCTGGCATCGAAGAGGACTCCTGTCTGATGAGCAATATGGTGGGCGTTCCTTTGTTCTCCCTTTAATTTTTCCCTGTACACAAAGCCCGAACATCTCAACAGGGGCGTTCAACAAAAACGACACCCACATCAGCACTTTCAAATGCCGGCCGTTGCACTGTGCTCTGCGTGCCTTCCGTAGGGTTTCTAATCCCTCCAGATTTTTCCCGTAGGGCCCAGGGCACAAGTTCCAAACCACATGCGATGGTTGCGCTGTGGGGCTCGAAGGTGGGCCTTTGGAGCGAGGCCGCACCACTTGCACCATGGTTTTGTTGCAACTCGCACCTGTCCCAAGGATGCGGGCATCAGCCAGTTGACACTTTGGGACGCGGCCAACAAGGGAAAAACACCAAAGGTGAGAAGCTTGGAAGATGTAAGAACAATTTGATTGCACCCATTCGGTAAGACTGAGCACGGAATGGAGTCAAACGGCACATCCACAGCCCAAGTCAGCCAGCCCAAGCTGCCGAGGTGGAGCTCGCTGCCGCGCCTGCGCACGAATCGCCCCTCAGGTCCGCCCGAAGGAATCTCAGCTGTCCGTTTTCGGATCCCCCGCTCAAAGGAAAATCACTTTTAGTGGGCTAAATGAGAAACCCCACGAAACACCAAAAAGCTAAAAAGCTAAAAAGCTAAGGAACCGGATGGCTGGGAGCCACCAAGTAATCCATAGTCCATCCGTTGTCCCAAGTCCGTTCCCCGTGCGATACCGCTCCAACAAGGGAAAGACTAGGGAGGACGGATTTGAAGAACTCAGTGAACAAACCAAACTGATAGCGCTCTGCTGGATTCGCTTCCGTTGTCTTGGGAATGTGTTGCCACGCGCCTCTGGTGTGTGGTGCGGGTCAGATCCCTGGGTGTGTCTTTTTGCCTGCGGGGCCAATTACCCGAAAGGAGCGACTTCCAGGGAAAACAACAAAAGACGATGTGCTTGCATTTCTCTGGGAAGGCACTTCCATCTTAGTGTAGCGCTGTGCCTGTCACAAATGGCTGTGGGTCAAAAATAAGGGCCCAAAATGGCTTGCCCTGGCAAATGGACAAGCAGACTAAAACCTGCGGTCCAATTCCTGGTGCTTTAATTTTGAGCCATACCCAAATTACGATCATTCACGAACAGGACATCTCCGGGTTCCCCGAAAAGGCCGTGAGCTCATCCCACGCCAACCTCCCAAACCCCAAGCTGCCTCGGCTGATCTCCTTGGCCATGGAAAAGAGCAAAGGGTTCTCCTCGCAGGCGTGGACCTGCAGTCCTTCGAGAGCGGCAACCAAGGCATAACAGTCAACCATAAACCTACCCTAAACCCACCCTAAACCAACCCTAAACCAACCCTAAACCCACCCTGAACCTATCCTAAGCCCACCCACCCACCAACCAACAAACCCAGCCAGCCAGCCTGGGAACCAGTTCTTGGGGTGCACTATGCTTATAAGGCTTATACAATAGGACGCCCGAGCCAAGATTTCAGCTTCCCTCTAGTTGGTTTGGAGCCCGGTGATTTGGTGGTGAAATGGAGGGGTTTCCCATTTACCCTCTACAAGAACCAGGGGGTCAAATCCCCAAACCGCTAATCCAAACCACCAATTAGGGGTTACCTGAAAACAGAAAGATGGGTGCTGGAAAAGCATGCTTTAGGGGGAAGAAGTGGACTTTCTGTTGGTCGGTCGATTCCATTTGTGGAAAACCTTAATTACCTAAAAGGAAGGGGGTCAGGTCCACTGAACGACTGGGCTGTGGTTTGTGGAGTTTGTCTTTCCTCAGGTTGACTGCCCGGAGTTCATCCGGTCAGCAAAGTAAGTACACTCAACGAAGCAACCAGCCAGCCAACAAACACTTTACAGCATACGGTATCACAGGGAATTATGCCGACAGTGCCCGATCCCGAGCCCGACTTGCGGCAATCCGATCTCGCGGAGTACTCAAGAACCTGGGGTGCATGGGGATCATGAAAGGGGCTGGAAAACTGAGACAGGCCCTTCGGAGAAGTCTTTTTCTCGGGCTTCCCTCTACCCTCAAACGCACCTGCCCAAGGAATCAAGAACGACTACAACAAACAAACAACACTCCAAATATAAGCGCCGACCAACCAAACCCAACCAACAACATCACACACACACACACACAAACACAAGCCAAGCAGCTTCGAAACGCCAAACTCCCAAGAATAAATAAACCAAGCTCCGTAGCACAGGCCTTGGACTTCAAAACCATTGCCGCCCATTCGGCCCACCCTTCTAGCGCGCCTGGCAGGTCGCGGCCGAGGTCACGGCAGATCAGGGCCAGGAGGCCGGTGCCGGTGCCGATGTCCAAGCACCGCAGGCCATTGGACTGCACGCGTTTCCCCCGCTCTCGCCAGTCAGCTTCCCCCCCCTTGATCCCACAACCCTGGGTTGGTTGGAATTCCCCATGTGCACCTGGGGTTCAAATGCCCTAGCCAGCAATTCAGGCTTGGCCTGAACCAGAAAAGCATGGGACACAAATGGCGGTTGAACTGGGAAAATCGGGAACCGGTACCGAAAAACATGGGGGAGAACAAAAACTGGGTCTCTTTTGCGATGGGGAGCCCCCTGATGGGTTGCCCCAAAGGCCCTCATAAAAATGCTCAAGGGAAACCGAAAGGCACCCCCTCCCCCTCTTAGCTTTTCCTTGAAGGTGGAGGGTCTGGTGGTGTAACCAACCTTTGCCACCTGCTTGAAAAAGCAGGTTGCCCCCCACCCACCCGGAAAAATCGTGAAACACAACCCCACCCACCCCAAAACGTCGAGCAATTCGTTCAACACAAATGGCTGTGATTCAAAAAACTGGTGCCAAAATCAACCTAGTAAGTGGAAACATGGACCACAACCTGCGTAACCCCCTGTTTCATTTTTAGCCACACCCAAATTGCAACGGGTCACCCCATCCCGGGCCTGGCCGTGTTCCGCTTCACCCGGATGAAGCGCCGCGACGCGCGCTTCGCCTGCGGCTCTCAGTGCAGCGCCGATGGCGGCGGCGAAGGCGGCATTCCTGGGCCCAAGATAGAACAACACAACCCAGGAATCAGTTGGCTATGGGTCAAATTTAGGGTAACCCCCAATGTGATTCGGGCACGAACCTGTGCCCAGGCAATGGGTAAGTTGGGGTAAACAAGGCACAAAAGAAAGGTTCCCCAAAAGCAAACCAATCCCCGGTCCCAAAGATCAGGGTTTCCCACACACCAGAGAACAACAACCAAAGGAAAACAAACCAAACCAGAAAAGGATACCCGCAACCTAGATCGACGATGAACCGCACGGGCGATCCCCACCAACCTACCCCGGGCCGAAGTCTCTTTCTCCTCCGACACGAAGGCGGTCGACGTGAGGGCCCGGCGACGCTCATCCGAGGCGCGCCGGATCCAAAACTTGAGCCAAAACACCACAGGTCGGTCACTAACGCGACGTCCCTGATGATGATATGAACCATGGCTAATCACACCCCCCTCACGAGGAGCCCGTCATATGACGGGCGGAGCGTGCCATTTACTGATAGGATTTAACTGCTCGCATGCGTCCGCAAACAGCTGGACACTACCGCCGTCAGCGGTGGAGCAAACCCACAAAGGCAGTTGCGCGACATCCCGGGCATTAAATTCCCGCCACCACCCCGAATTAATCGGGGTAACGCTGTCCAACAAACCTTGTGGAAAAGTCCACATGACGACACTAGGTCACAACTGTTTGCATCAACAATGCAAGAAGTTTAATTCTTATCAGAAGCCATGAAATAAAAGATAACGTATGTCCATTAGTACCCTCGCCTAACGGCAAGAGGTACTCCTGACCATGCGTACCTGAATAAAAATGCTTGAATTCAGCAAACCCGGGAGTAACCCCCCATCAGTTTGCTTTCCCTCTCACTCACACTGCTCCCTGATGAACACGTCCAGCAGCCCAGCAGCGGTATGGGAGAGACATGACCTCCGCGCCTCAGCGGTCCGGGAGGAACATCACCACCTCCGCACCGCGCCGACCATTGGAGAACGGACGCAAGCCTATCGGCCGCAATCCTCGTGACTCAGCCTACCGGCTATCGTCACGTCTCCTCCGGTCACGTCCGCCCCGCGCACGGTCCCTATCACGATCCCTCTCGGATCTCCTGCGATCATCTCGCCTTCGATCTCGCTCCCGATCGAGTGATTCATCATCACGACGATCACGAGCATCGTCCCTCCTCCGGTCTCGCTCATCCTCGCGCCGTGGACGGTATCTGCGCCTCCTTGACTCCCTGGAATCCCTGGTGTCCACGGTCCTAACGGACCTCCGAGAAGGAGTACGGGAAACATCCGATTCCCTACGCCTCCTCCCAGATCGAGAGTTCGTCACGATCTGGTTGAGAGCCTCCAGTGCCGACGCGTCCTCACCATTCCTGATGAAATCCCTGACCTGCTTGTTCAGCACTCTGTTGGTGGAGATCGACAAGAAAGCGTCCACCACCGAACTCTCAGGCAGCACCAGAAAGTGACCCTCCACCGGGCTCGCCGCGGCCCGCTCAGCAGACTGCAGCCGGATCTCCCCGCCTTCAGGCTTCTTTGCCATCGCCTTGGAGGCCGTCAAAGGCGCTACCGCATCCTTTGCCGAAGATCTGCCAAGCGCGGAGTGAAGATCATCCCCGCTAGCTTCTCTCGCTGCCGCACCTGGTCTGCTGTCGACGTCGCCAGGCCTCGTGGACGCCTCCCGCTTTGTCGACTCCTTCGCAGCCTCGTCGGGATCCCAACGGGATTTCCTTTCTCTCTTCTGCCCTTCGGCCGACCCGCGGCTACCGCCGGGAGCGTCACCTCCGCCTGTCTTCTCCTTCTTGACCTCAACCTTCGGTTCGGCCTGCTTCGTCTCCTTAGCCACAGCTTTTGGAGCCGGAGCACTCTTCGCCTCAGATGCTGAAGCAGCCTTCCCTCTCGGCTCGGCCTTAGGAACCGGGGTCATTTTAGCCTTAGCACTCGGCCTGGCCCCTTCAACCACCATCTCGGCCCAAGACTTCTTCGGCTGAGCTGCTGCTGTATCAACCTCCATCGGAGCAGGTCCAGCATCATCCTTCGCCTTTGGGACAGATGGGCTACCGCCCTTACCAGATCCTTTACCTGGCACTTCACCTGATTTTGGTGGTGGGCCGGAAGGACTACCGCCCTTACCGCCCTTTTCCCCTTTCTTCCCTTTTCCTTTTCCGCCCTTGGGGACCGGCTCCTGCTTGGGACCAGGACCCGGCGCAGCATGATGCACCGATTGGAGTCCCTCGATGTCCACGTTCAATGGTTCGGGTTGACGACCGTCAAGAACCGTCCTCACCCTTTCGTCACTAACGTAGACGAACGGGTCACGGAAGGGTGCGGGAGGCTCCGACTGTCCGGCGCTGATCGCCTTCTGCACCTTGGCTATCGCCTCCTTCAACCTCTTCTTCTCATCGTACCCTGTCTCCGATACCATGTACTTCCTGAGCTGCGAATCAACGCATGACTCTCCAGGATGTCCACGTCCTTTCGATGGGTCGGGTACAATGGGGTCAGATGACCAGCCGCGGAACCAATCACGTATGCCATCGGAATATAGAATGACAAGTACGTGTCATGACGAGCGAACTTCCTAACGGAAGTCGTCATACGCCTACCCCACTGAGCAGCGTGTCTTGGGTTGGCCCGGAAGTACTCCGTGACCGACTCAAATCTATCGACTTGGTTGGTCTTGATCAGGTGCTTCGCCACCCACTTCTCCACAAACGCATCCGAGGCCGAAATCCCGGACACATAGGAGAATTGGAAGAGCACCTTCGCCAGCTCATCCCACGCCGCATCGACACCTCCCTTGTCTTCACCAAGATAAGGGGGAAGTCTGATGCCGCTCTGCACCGTCATCCTTAGATCGGATGCCATCGAATAGGAAATCAAATTCCTCTTGATGACTCCGACCACTTCGGAGGGAATCCTCCTGGGCTTGAACTGCCCCATGGTCCTCACCCACTCCGGCACGATGTGGCACCTTTCGAAGTCCTTTTCCTCCGCGTTGGGGATAAAGTTCGGGTAAAAGACCGGGAGCGCGCACCCGGGACACAAGTGCATCCCATTTGGCATCAATTCTGCGCACCTCAAGCAGAACGTGGCAGTCACATTCAGCCTGATCTCTTCCCGTGATCGCCTGTGCTCTCCCCTAACGGGGGTGAAGTCACCGTAGTCCCATGCCCGATGGTACACTATCGTGTAATCATCGTACATATACGCCGCCTTCCAAGCCCCCATGTGGATCTCGTTCCTAACGGCAAGAGTCTTCCTTCTCGTCAAAAACACGGGTCCAACCAAGGACCAGTGCACCCGAAGATCCACCATTACCACCACGTACCTACCGGAGTAGTTCCGCAGCCTGTCCCTGACATACCACGAAGGCGATACCTCGGCATCCGGCGCCATGGCTCCCACAAGTGGGATCAGGCCCTCATCCTGCCTACCATCCCCAATGGTCTCGTACACATCGGGCCTCGTGATCAATATCTCGATCATGGCCTTTCCATTTCGCCTCACCCTTTGGAGCTGAACCGCCTTCCGAAAGTCCGAGAACTTCATGATGACGTATCCCACCATGGGGAGTTCATTCCAATGCATCTCATACATCAGAGATCCGCCAGGTGCATCTTCCTGAGTATACCTGTGCCTAACGGCACTGTAACTCAAGTCGCGTCCGATCCGCGTGTGCCTAACGGCAACCAACCTGGTGCTCTCTTTGAGGAGAACGCCATCCCCGTCGTACATGACCATGAGCATCGCCTCCACTTGCCCTATCGGGAAAGCTTTGAGCGTCGGAATGAAGAACTTCCAAGACATCTCAGCGTTCTCCATACCCGAAATCTCCTTCAGGAACCAGATGGCCTGGTCACTTTTCACCCAGTTTCCAGCCTCACGTCCGGTCTCCTTCAGCACACGTTCCTCGAATAACTCCGAGACTCTCTTTGAATTGATGACCAAACCGTCGAAATCGCACGAGAGCAGTCTCATCAACTCCTTCGCCGCCTCCCGTCCTGCAACAGTGCCCATGGTCTCCTCGTAGTTCGGGAGGTATTCGCCCAACCTCGTCTTCGAGGGAACCACAATCTGGCAAGTGACGGCCTCATCAGGGATAACTCCCGTTTCCCTTAACTCTGGATTGATCTCTCGCCTATCGGCAAGATAATCCTCCTTCCCATCCAGTATCACAAGATTGTAGGTCATCTTGCTCGCCGCCCCACTAGGCCTGAACTTCCTGCTATCATCCAACTGGTCAGGAGCAAAGGGTCCACTAGGGGCGGCCGCACTCACCAGAGGCGCTCCTCGCCCAGAGCAGAGGTGCTTCTTGTGAAAGTTCACCATCTGATTCAGCTGCGATAGTGCGTAGGCACGATCCTCCAATGACGCACTCTTCATCCCGGCCTCAGTCAGAGGAGCCTCAGGCTTGTCATAACTCGCCTTTCCGCCCCATCTCGCCGCGACCAGCTCAGCAGACTTCACAGGGTCGATCATATTTCCCGACCACTCAGGCATGTTGCTCAACCTCCTAGTCAACGCGTCTACCGACGCAGCCAAGTCTTCGTCCGTCACGGTGTAAGGGTCGACCTTCTCCCTGTCCTCTTGACCCACATCCGGAAGCCTATAATCCCCGCGGATGGCCTCCATCGCGGCCCTCTCGGCTTCCTCAGCCTCCTCTGCGTGGCCACTGCTCTCGGAATCAAGAGCGCTACCTCGGCCGGCAACGACTTCTCCATGTCTATCGGAGTGTTCTTGGGAAGGATCCTTCGATCATCTCCCTCCCCGCTGTACTCGTAGTCAGGCGGCAGTCTTCCGGTACTCCTCGAAGGTAGCCCCTTTGAAGTTGGTGCCCACTCGGGTCTCCTTCCCAGCCTCAGTACCCCGAGGCGTGGGCTCCTTCGTCCCGGTGGAATCCTTCTTGGAGCCTTCCTGATCCACGTCCATGTCGTCCTTCTTCTTCTCCGTCACGGACAGCTTCCCAATGTCAGGAAGGGTCACATCATCATCCTTTC